TTGATAATTTAAATAAAATATTTGAAAGTACTTGGGTCTTATGACCTAATAGTTATAAGATGAATTGCAAAGTACACCCTCCAATGCAAGAGCTGGAGTTCAAATCCATCCTCCTCAAATGTAAATCCGTTAAAAATATATATATATACTTGAAAGTAATTTTTTATGCCATTTTCCATTGATCAACATTGCAAGACATCCCATAAAAGTTATTATGTCAAAACTTATTTGAATTTTTCGAAATCATCAAAATGGTAGGCCTTTACCAGTGTACTAAATATTTCTCTCTGGCAGCATATAGACTACATAGCGAGCAGACCCCTTCATTTTTTTCAATTCTCCTTCTTCCTTCTCCTCAATCCTTCCCATTCTCTAAAGATCAGTAATTTTTATTTTGTTTATGGGAATCACATGTCATTTTTGAATGAAGAATGGTCGCTCTAATTATTTTAGTTCTTTTTCATTTTAATTCTTGTTTTCATTCTTTTTCACTATATGTACTGATTTAATTCTTGATTTTTTATGTTGCTTTGTAGGATTAATGCTGGTTTTGAATTCGTATATAAATCATCATATCCCTTTAAATTTCCATAAATATGCTATTATTTGACATTTTTGGTGAAAATTTTAATAACTTTTGATATTTTCATAAGTGAACTTTTTTTTGATATAGTTTTATTGCTAACTTATTGTTAGTAATGAGGTTTGATTTATTTAATTTTTAGAATTTTTATTTTGTTTTTATTATTTTCTTTCTGTCCCCTTACCATTTACTAACAAATGCTTAATTGTTTTGTAGATTAAAAAGCTTGAGATAATTTATTTTGTAGAGTATGATGAATTTTAGTTTATATTTGCTGGAGTGTACATTTTTCATGAATTTTCATATTTATTTTTTTTACTTGTAATTACTGTATTCTTGAGGGCGAAAATTTGGTAGAATGAACATTTTGTATGTTTTAAAGGTGGCTATATCAATTTGTTGAGTTGTTGTATATTGTCCTCAAATTCGCTAGAATTGTTGTGTAATTTGTAGGATTAAATGAGATTTACATTGTAGTGAAAGAATATTTGAATTTAGTTTTTTTTAGAATAGGAACTTCGTGTAGCATGTTGGTAAATGGTTACATCCCTAATTTTTTTTTTTTTGTTATTAAATATTTAGCAATTTGTTCTGCATTACTAACAATTACACCAATTTATGACATGTCAAGAAGAAAAGAAGAAAATGTGTAGATAAAAATGCTAATTTTGTAATTTTTTTTATTTAAATATACAAACTTTGATAATTTTTTATTAAAATGGTAAACTTTTAACTTTTTTTTATTTAAGAATTAATTGGATAATGATGTTGACATGTTAAACAAAAAAGTTGACATCCTTAAATAAAAAAAATGCAAAGTTGGCATCCTTAATAGAAAAAAATAGGTAAAGTTAACATTCTTAAATAAGAAATGTTAAAAGTTCACTGTCTCAATTAGAAACTAGTAAAGTTTGTATTCTTAAATAGAAAAAATTACAAAATTAACATTCTTATTTGTACATTTTCTCGGTGAGATTATAGTAAAATAATAATGGTAATAAAGTTATTTATAATTATAGTGATATATCACATGTTGTTGGTAATGACAATGAAACTTACATCAGTGAATTATTTCATTTGCACAACAAATTATATAGCTGCTTTCCAAGTGGGTGAATGTTTATTCACTGACATGATAGGCAAAGTATTTAATATAAGAACTCTAGTGTAAACTTCGGTGTCATTATATTGCCTTGTAAACCATATGGGTGAATATACAAATTCATTGACATGTGTTATCAGGTTGTTTGGTGTAGCATTGCTAACCATGTTGGTGATTTATTGAAATTCACCGACATAAATTTTGCTACATTGTTGTTTCAATTATTGAGGGAGACGTTTTTCAAAGTGATCTTCATCGATATGGATCACAATACTACGCGATTTTCACCCACATGAAGCTGGCTTTCACCCATGTGCACCCACAATGTTGATGCCCTATAATGTAAATATTCTTGCACATAATTTTAATTTCTAATTAGAACACATGACATCATCACAAATTTTATTATTTATGGTGCAAACAAATTAACATTCACTTTTTTAACATTATTCGTCATATTTTTAATTAAAGATTTGAAGAAAATTTATATTTTTACTTATATACTCTTAAGAAAGAAATATAAAACATAAAAAGACCTTTTTTTAATAAGATGATTAATTAAAATTAAGAGATAATAATGGCTTAAATAAAAAAAAATTCTCTCTTAAAATATAAACAAATAAGAATTAATTTGAAACAAATTCTAAGTCAAAATATTAAAAAAAGCTAATTAATTTAAGATAAATTTTAAGTAAAAATATACTATTATTATGAGATGAAAAGAGTAAGCACGGAGGCCAATGAACTTTGTCCATATCATTAATTTTTGTTGTATGAAATTTTTACATCATAAATTTAAAGGAATTTGAAGTAAAGAACTAAAAAAGATTTAAAATTTAAAACTTTAGGAATCAAAATAAACATTTATTTAGTTTAAGGATTAAATGAAGAGTCGATACCAAAATTAAAAGACAATAATTAAGGTTTAACCATCTCAATAAGTTGCCATGCTCCACAAGTGCATGTTCTATTCTTAAAGTTCGAAACAGGTGTGTGGTTGTATCTCCGTCATATGCTTGAAATTCGTGAACGCCATTCTATATCATATGCATGTTATTGCCCCCGGCAAAAGCTTACTTTTAGCTCCTCACCTTACTAAGTTTAAAGGGTTTAACCTCTCACCTTATACTAGAACACTTTTAGCCCCTTATTTTACTAAATTTGTAAATTTTAACCTATCACCTTATACTATGACACTTTTAACTTCTTATCTATTAAAATTGAATAAAATAACCCTCACTTTGTAACATTTTATTTGTCTTGTTAGCTGACTGTTAACTTTGTTAGTTGACTATTAACTTTGTTAGCTGATTGTTAACTGACTGCTAGCCAACACAAACCTTCTTTTAGCTAACAAAGAGCTGACAAAAACCTTCTTAGAGTTGACAAAAACCTTTTTTTTTTTAGCTAATAGAGTTAATAGAATTAACTTTATAATATTTCATTCATTCCGTTAATTGACTATTAGTTGCCGTTAGTTGATAAAAACTTATTGTTAGCTAACGGAGTTAACAGTCAATATAAAGCGAGGGTTGTTTTGTTCAATTTAATAGATAAGGAGTTAAAAGTGTTATAATATAAGGTGAGGGCCTAAAACCTTTAAACTTGCTAAGGTGAGGGGTTAAATAGGTTTTTGCCTCCTTTAGATCCTCAGTCTATTTTTTTTGGAGTAGTGGACCACGTTTTTGTTTAAGTAAAACCAAACTGAAATTTTCAGGTACACAAATTTTTGAGTATTTAAAAAAAATATTTTTTAAAAATTATAATCCAAACCCAAACCATAGTTCTAATTTGTATTTCAATTTGGGTATTTGAATATTTCAGGTACTTTGGTTCAGTTTTAATTTACCCAAAATTTTTATCAATCTCAAATTTCCATTACTCGTGTTTTAGATTCTTTCCTTTTTATGTTTTGATTGGGTAAATAAATAAATAAATAAAATTTTATTTTTTTTCTACCGTTGATAATTTGAGTCTACATGAGACCCTCCCCCACAATCAATAACTACCATAGATTCATTATAAATTTTGGTCCTAAAATTAGTTTTAACTAATATTATTTATAAAATACTTAGCATAAGAGATTATTATTCAGATATTCATTTATTATATTATATTTTACTTATTTAATGTCACATTGTTTCATATAATAGAAAATATATGGTGACATTTTACCGTGTGACATTGTCAAATTGAAACCGAGCTAAGAAAATAAGAGATTTAGTATGAGAGAGAGAAAGACTTGAAAATCCAAGAATGGGTTAACGCCACCAAGATGGATTATGAAGTGGATTACGGTTCTTATCATTAGTATTTACTATTTGTATATATAAACTTATTAATTACTTAATTTTTTTCTTAAAAATTCAAAAAAATCCAGATGTGTTGGGTCACCTCTTTTGGGTTTTGGGTTTATAATCTTAGAACCTGGACTCGAACCAAATAACTAAATGGGTAAAAAATACCCACCCTCTTTCCCGTGTAATCCAAACTGGTTTTTGCAACCTTGCTTTTCCTAAGGTTAAATGTCAAATTTTGGTTCTTCAATTTTAAAATTTTGCAGAGAAATGATGTAAATAAAGATGTAAATTTTACATTTTTTTTTATTTAAAAATGTTAATGTTGTTAATTTCTAAATAAAAATATCAACCTTCAATTTTTTCTATTTAAAAATATTAACTTTTAATTTTTTCTATTTAAATATGCTAACTTTCAATATTTTAATTAAAAAATCTATTTATTATGTTAACATTATCATCCAATTAATTCTTAAATAGAAAAAATTAAAAATTGATATAATTAAATAAAAAAAATTGAAAGTTAATATCTTTAAATATAAAATATTGAAAGTTGACATTTTTATTTAAAAACTAATAAAGTTACCACCCTTAAATGAAAAACAAATTTAAGATTAACATCCTTATTTATCCCTTTTCTCAAATTTTGCATGTCCCTTAATTTTTTATGTATTATTTTATTCATCAACTATGAAAAATGTATTTTTTTTAATTCTTTTGTCAATCAATCCATTGAATTTGTCCAAATATGTACATTTTTAATCCTTGAACTTAAAATTAGAGGATGAAAAATGTGCATATATTATAAGTTAAATGATTAAAAATGTATATGTTTTAACGGATTACCTGATAAAATTACTAAAAAAATGTATTTTTTTATAGTTAAGGGATATAAAAAGTATATAAAAAAGATAAAGCATGAAAATTATTCAAAACTTTAAAGTTAAGGGACCAAAATTGGTATTTAACCTTTTTCTAATGGTAAGAGTCCATAAATATGATAATGAAAATAAAGTTACTCCAATTATCAATTATATTAAACAAGTCCAGGTACTAAATTAGGGAAAAATAACTCATTGAACAGCTTGAAGTCCTTGAGCGTTGACCCTCACATCATTATACTTGAAGAAAATTTAGAGGTGAAGTGTCCATAACAGTAAACCACAGTGCGACTTCACATACAACTTCAAAATCAAAAGCAACAAATAATATTTGACAACAAAACAACAAAATGGAGGCTTTAGGGTCAGCATGTTTCATTCTCTTCCTATGATACTTAAATCATTCCCCCCATAAAGCACTATTCTTATGTTAACCCTTATTTTTCCGGCCTCTTCCTATATTACAAATCACCTCCTAGCTTGCTTTCAATGTGTACATGCGAAGAGGGCTCAACTACCTTAACTGAACTTAGTTATTTAAACTTCTCAAGCGTTCAACCAGTTCATCCTGCACGTGGTTCAATTCATCATGAGATGGATGCTCAATTCAATAAAACAATTAGGCATGAAATGGAAGTTCATAGCCTCAGTTACAGACTACACAGGCAGGAAATGTAAGATAGAATTGAACCTCAGCATAAAAATCCTTCTTGCACAAATAACTACAATAAGAAAATGCCTTGAATTGAGTAACGGGGGGCCTGCCTAAATGGTCCTACCCCTAATCAACCTTGCAATCTGAGGTTCAACTTTTTAGACAACAGGTATATCCATACTTACCATTAGAAAAAGAGTAGAGATCTATTTACACACATTTTGCACATTATACTTATACAAAATCTCAACCATTCATCTTTTCACTTTTAATGATTGAGATTTATTTATATTTATTAAAGATAATTATCTTTCTCACTTAAAATATCGTGAGGTTCAACTTTTTAGACAACAGGTATATCCATCATTACCATTAGAAAAAGAGTAGGGATCCATTTACACACATCTTGCACACCATACTTACAGAAAATCTCAACCATTCATCTTTTCACTTTTAATAATTGAGATGTATTCATATTTATTAAAGATAACTATCTTTCTCACTTAAAAAATAATGTCAAAACTCAACCATTAAAAGTTGAGAGATGAATGGAGATTTTGTCTGAGTGTGGTGTATAAGACGTGTGTGTGAATGGATCTCTCTTTTTAAAAGTATGTCCTGAAATTCAATAGAAGAAATTTATTTGCTTGCGTTATTATCACCCTCATCAACTATATCCTTATAGAATCTTTAAAAAATGTTCACTCATATGCATACCTTTCTTCCCTTGGGTGAAAGACCTTTTTCCTTAAGAAGGGCTCGGAGCCTCTCTACGGTCAGATTTTGGAAGTTATTTTCAGCTGCACGTCCATTTGATCCCTCTGCATGTTTAAAAATCATTAGAGAAACTTAACAGAGTAGCAAAAGATAATGTCATTAATTACATATGCTAACACTGGAAGCCAATTGGGTGATCCCATGAATATTGGATGGGTCTCATTCAGCTTATAAACTAATTAAATCACATAAAATCATTACTTGAAATGGAGCAGAGAACAAACAATAGAGACAAGCACTTCTAACGTATGATCGGATTTAAAATTTCAGAACTCCTGTTTCAAGTTTTGCTATGATTTTTATTATATCTTACGAAAAAAATGTTCAATTGAAATTGACAATTAGTGCATGTAAATTATATATAAAAAGAGATAACTCTGACTTCTAGCAGGCATCCTACAGCATCTTGATTCTTGAAGAAAAAAATACTTCAAATTAAGGGTCAATTTGGTATAGTGGTTGGGGAGTAATGATTAGCACCAGTGGTTAACGGTTAATGGTTTTGCCTAAAATCGCTAAGGATACATGTTTAGAAATTTATTTATTTCAAAACCACTACAAACTAAGTATTTGGTAAAATTTTTTATTTAGTGATTTGGGACTAGCAGATAACAGTTATGGTCCAAACTGCTACCGGATTGAAGAAGCTACTTAAGGTAGTTTTTTTGTATCAAATTGCTAGCAAATTGGGATTTTTTAATTTTATTAACAAATTTATTCATTTTAATTTTTTAATTTTTGGCCACAGTTTTTAATTAATACTTATTTGATTAGTTTCAACTTTGTTTTTTATCTTTAATAACATTAAGTGATTATATATTTTTATTTTCACATTAATTTATCATAAGAAAATATATTAGTTTAATAAACAAAATTTGCTAATTTGACGGAAAAATTAAACTTTTTTTGTACTTTATTTAAAACTAATATTTTTTTTTTCTTTCTTAAAAATAGAAATTAGAGT